ACAAAGATATAGAATTCACCGTCATCAGATGTTCTGAATAAAGATGGCATGAAAGCATCAGTTTGAACAACTTTACTACACGCGGGATTTTCGAGTCCCGATCGTCTAAATTGGGCGAAAGGTCATCTGTTTTCATCCTACGATCATATATATATATTCAGAAAATATGAAGCAGTAAATCAATCCCGGACGAGGTGCTGAAATGCTAACGGATAGAATAATATAAGTGATATATGCAGGAAACATTTTTATTTAACTTTGAAATATGGCGAAAGAGTGAGTAATTGACCGAATTAACGGATATTTTGAAAAGACTACGCATGGGATTTTAATTAATTATGTCGTTATAATGCGCCGTAAATGTGATAGGTCTAGAAATAAAATGATATTCTCTTTAAAGTTACACATTTCAGATCATTATATGATATGTTGAACATACGCGCCAATTTTATTTTCTTATCCGGAACTCAAACAAATATTACACTCACGGATAATGGATCTGAATTTCTATAACCACTGAAAATTCCGCATTCCCTTAGAATGTAATTATTAGTACTAAAATAACACTATTACAAATTGCACAGTAACTTCAGCGACAAGAGCTCAGGTCATTAGCGAATACAACAAATGCCGCCCTTTGTTCAGGGAGCTAGTATGACGGATACACAAACCTGGATAATGCTGCAAGACTAGATTTTCAGAATTTAACACTCTCTGCACAAACGATTCTATTTCGTCATTTTCTGATATCGCCTATTGCGCTGTACGTTGGATTAATACACGTAACGATCTTTCAACAGTTAATACGGACAATTAACCCTTATTCCTACAACCAGACTTGTGCCAAACAGAAATGCCTTAAAAGGCATAAGGTTATCCATTAACTTCAGCTTAATCCAGAGCCGCTCTAGTCGCTGTTTCGAGGTTAGTGACAGACTTTCAGGGCCACCGTTGCGACTCAGGAATAGACGTTTTGCCGTTCGTCGCCTGTCATGCGATCTCGCACTTGGATCGTTGCCCGTTCTCAAAGGCAAGGGTGCTGATGCCGGATTATGGAGGGCGCGCAACAGTGACGCTAAAACGTCATAAATATAAAAACAGAAAGCTTACATACACTCTACATACTTATGAATATACTACATATGGCCAAATTTTTAAGAAATTCCTGAATGACTGACATCAACACAACGAAGTTTTGAAAAACCGACTCCTGAAGTTCCTATCTACGGCTGTTGCATTCAACAATGGCACAATGTGACCACCAACGCTTTAGGTAAATAGCATATCTAACATATCCATTGAGAACAACATCCTCTGTTATGTGATCTGCTGAATAAATCGTAGAGCGTGCGGAAAAGCCAGTGTAGTGCGGGGCGGGGGGGGAGTAAGTTAATGCAATAATAGATTAAGAATGACATATGGAATGACGAGGGGGACAAGCGCTCATCATTATAGTCAGATAAGCGAGACGTGGTAAGGACTGTAACAAAAGAAAACCTCCCAAGTAAGGCGCTGGATAAAGTTTGCTAGAAACCCGCTGACAAACAAAAACCAGTCAAAATTTTAACACTGAGAAAGCGGATTCGGGAAACAAAAATGAAATGCCGTCGGAGATACCAAAGCTGCATCAGTGGCCCACTGTTTCTGAATAATACTGAATCTGACTAAAGACAGCTGGCTCGAGAAATGTGTTTACTGCAGTAACAGGAATTTGTAATCTGAGGAACATACATAGTGGGAGCAAAAACTGGAATGCTCTCAAAACTAAATTTACAAGCTTTAATATAACACTTTCAGCTTTAAACTGCAGTCATCTGGCGCTGCAGCAGTTATACTGTTCGAGCGAATGCTGTGACAGTACTGTGTATACACGCATCTCTGGAGTTCAAATAGCCATGGCCAACTTAATCTGCCTCCTAGGGATCCATCAGTCAAAGAAGAGGCGACTCTGCTCATCAGTATTTATGGTGGGTAGACTGCCCTTCAAAGACCAACCATCGCGAAGAGACATCGAGGACCTGAATACCTAACAGTATGCCGTGGTAAAAAATAATAGTCATCGTCAGTAGTGAGGCGATCGATCTAAGGACCGCTGCGCACACGAACCGCTATATTTGGGGAAAAAATAAAGAAAAAATGCAAAAACGTTAAAACACTTATCCACTAATGAAATGTGTCAGGTTCGTTTATCATTTGTTAAAATAATTTAACGGACCACTCGTCGCACTTGCTCTTTAGAGAGAGTACCACCTGTAGACAAACTGGTCTTAACAGTTAC